TCTTACTTATGCACCAAAAGGTTATTACAGGATAAAATAAATCACATTTAAATAGCATGGGAATCCAGGTCATGTCTGATTTGTTTACTTTAAAACATGTGGTTTAGATTTATTTAAAGCATATGGTAATATCATTGACTATTGGCTACAAAAGTTGTATTAATAGTGTTAAAGCATAGATAAAACATACTCCCTTAGTAGATTTCTCATCCTTATGGAACAGCTGAAGACAATTTTATTGTTAGTTCTGTACGGTATATGTAGAGGTCGTGTTTTGTTTACAATTTGTTTCCCCTTATTACACTAATTTAAAACAAGGTTTAACCAAATAATACAATCGAATCATAAACAATAACTTGTCCCCTAGTTGTATAACCAAACAGTAAATCACAAATCAAGAAATTAACCCTAAAATAATAGAAAAAAAATTTCGTCGACACTAGCACCCAGTGTCGCGTACATGAACTAGACACTTCAAAATTTACAATGGGATGAGAAGTCTACGATTTGTGTTGGTTAGTCTATGGTTAAAGGTAGTATGTAATATATGTATTGTATGTAACTATAGTGCATTTGAAAGTAAACATGCGTGCAAATGAAAATGAAACAGCATTTTGTGATTGGCTTCTACGCTTATATTAGGTAATGGAATCTTAGAGAGCAATAGGGCAACACCGGCAATTGACATTCCAGATAACTTTGTTCTCTCTGATTGTGCAATTGTTTATGACAACTCAATAAATCCAGAAAATATTCAAAACTACTCCAATCAAATAATTGTATGTGCTTTAAATGAACATTGTGATAATTTAAATGAAGAAGTATTAAAAATCTACTACAGTAATTATGAAGTAGTTTCAGAAGACCCTACAGAGAGGTTGAACATACCAATTGAGTTTATAAATTCAATTACACCATCTGGAATGCCACTACACAAATTAGTTTTAAAAGTTGGTTCAATAGTGATGCTCATAAGAAATAGGGTCTGGATTAGTTAATGGAGTACGATTGGTTGTGTTGGGTATGTCTGAAAAAAGTGTAAAGTTAGTAGTAATTACTGGAGTAGGGAAAGGGAACATATTTTTCATGCCAAAAATAAAACTAATATCTACAGATCCTAATATGCCCTTTAAATTTACAAAGGATTCAATTCCCATTACGATTATCTTTCACCATTACTATAAATAAAGCGCAAGGCCAAACCTTCCCAAAAGTTGGAATTTATTTGAAAAAAAAAAACAGTGTTTACCCATGGTCAACTTTATGTTGCTTTTAGCCGGGTAAAGCGGCCAGATGACGTTAAAATAGAAATAGAAACAAATAAAGACCAAGGAATGGACCAAAATGGATACTACACAACAAATGTTGTTTTCAGAGAGATTTTGTTACAGAATTAGTATTTTACAATTTGGAAGATGACATTATCTCTATGTGTTGTGTTTTTCTAAGTGAATTTGTCTATATTAAAAAAAAGTATATATATTTAATTAATAGTGAAGATTATTGAAAATGTTCTTTTGCTGTATTATGATTAGAAAATGTATGTTACAAACCCACCACATGAAGAGTCCTTTTGAATTTTTATCCTAAACAGAGCAGACATAAAAATGAATTATGCAGGTATGTGATAACTGTTATACATTATTATAATATACACAAAATTTAAACGATAATTCAAGGTAGGGTACGGTAACCCATGAGACAAATAATGTGTACAAAATAATTGTTAGAATATATTACATATACTGTATATAGGGGCTATTGCCCCTACAAGCCACTAGTATCTTACTAATATTATAAATCTGAAAGTTTTTGCGTTTGTGTGTTGCTCAATCACGCATAAACTACTGGACGGATTGGGCTGAAATTTGGCATGATGATAGCTCACATTCCCGATTAACATTTAGGCATATTGTTATCTAAAAAGTCTTTCGGGCACCGCCCCAAAGGCTCTGCAGTTTCCCATGTTAACCTTATGAATATTCATATTTAAAGGGAATTAAAGAATTTAGTCAGCTGTTTCAAATATAAAAAAAAAATGGTTCTAAGATATGCAAAAGTATTGAAAGTTATAAGATTTACCAACAGGGTGCAGCACTATAATTTTGTTTGCATTAACAGCCTAATTTGAACTAAGCAGCAACAAAAAACTGTGATATGCAATGAGAACTGTCAAAGTTGGACTGTTTATAGTTATGTTTATGTTTTTAATTTCAAGAATAATTTGTGATATTTTGAAAATTTTTTATAATTTATTTTTTTCTGTTGCTTAGGTGAAGTGGTAGAACATTATGGCTATGGTAGATCTTTAATACTAAAGTATACCGTAAATTTAAAGAAGCAAATTTTATCAAAATGTGTCCACCCCCATTGCAAACGCAAAGCTTGAGTATAACTGCAATAAGCATTCTATACCTATATGCCAACCCCGTACGTAGGACGGGTACTCTGCTAGTATAGCATAAAAGTGCAATTTTTTGTGGGTATCCCAATTTCGTCCGAAACCCCCAAAATGGGTTATTTTGGGGGCAGCTCAAAAATTTTAAACATAAAGCTCAATCAAGTGACACCTCATTTTGAAGCCCACCAGTTAAAATTAGTATCTGCGAAAACTAGAGATCTCTATCTCAACCCAATACAAAATGGCGGTAGTTTTTAGTTTTTCTCATCAAAATCAGAGACCTCACTTAAAAATTTACATTACTATCTCCTATTAACATGTGATCAAATTGTACCAGGAGAGCTTATCACTCCATACGAAAAACAGTTTACCTTCTAGTTGGTACCAGGTTTTCCCTTGGAAACCCAAAATGAAGCATATTGGGGCAGCTAAAAAATGTTAAATGTAATCCCTGAAAACTAACAGTGTGCCCTCTTGTTTCGCCAATAATCTTTTTAACTGATGGCCTTGAAAATGAGATATCACTTGGGGGTGCTTTTAAAACTTTAGAGCTGCCCCCAAAATAACTCATAGTTGTATTAATAGTCAAAGGTACAACCCATGATTAATAGGGTTAATAGGGTATATTGATGTATATTTTTACATGGGGTCTCTCAGGGTGATGTTTGTGTAAGTGTCTATAATCTGAGCATAATACTAAGGCAACCCTTAAAACAGGTGGGTAACTTATTATTGCTGAATGCCTATTACTTAAAACTTATTTTAGATATACCGGGTGTTTGAAAAACAACTCCCTATTTTCGAGAACAATTTAAATGGTGAAACATACAAAATCTTACAATTATGAATACGTAATGTAAAAGAGAATATCTTCAAGTTTTGTTTCTGTCCTAGTAAACTTTGACGTGTGCACCATTAGTTGCTCTACACAGGTCAAGACGACTTCCCACTTCTCGCCAGGTATTCGCCAACATTGCAGATGCGACTGACGCAACTGCCCCGATCATCCTTTGTCGTAAATGGCCAATGTCACGGACATTTTCAGCATATACCACATTCTTAACATGCCTCTAAAATAAAAAGTCCAAAGGAGTTAAATCTGGGCTTCCGAGGTGGCCAGGAAGCTGGACCATCTCTGCCTATCCATCGTTCTTAAAAAACGAGCGTTTAACGCATCACGTACACATTCTTTGTAATGAGGTGGGGCGCCATCTTGTTGAAATAAATAAATAAAAGTGAAACAAAACTTGATGCTATACTCTTTAACACAATGTATTCATAAATGTAAGATTTTGTATGTTTCACCATTAAAATTGTTCTCGAAAATATGGAGTTCTTTTTCAAACACCCGGTATATCTACTAGGCATTCAGAAATAATAAGTACCGGTACTGTATCAAGAAAAATAATAAGCTGTTCATTAATACACATAACGGGGGATCGTCTAAAATGGTGATTTCCTCGTTTCTAGCGGTCCGAAAGATTTCACTCGCTATTTCTATCACACCCTTGGGCATTGTGTAGGATAGGCATACTATCGTCAACGTCTAAACATCTACAGTAGACTTGCCATGGGAAAAAATATTATAGTGCTGCTGATTACAATGTGTAATTTTTCTGATATGTAGTATAATGGGTGTAGTGCTACTGTTTGTATCCGATGTGTAGTTTCGCTGATAGTATAATGGGTGCTGTTGATTATATACAGGTTGTAGTTTCACAGATAGTGTATTGGTTGTAATTTTGTTGATCGTACATTGGTGTAGTGTTTCTAATTGTATAGTTACAGAGTGCATTTTTACCAACAGTATAATGGGTTTTATGTTGCCTATTGTATCTTTGACTACAGTTTGAACTATGTATTCCATTCCTAAGTTATTTGTAGTTATGTTCCTAATGCATGGAGTGCAGTAGTTGTTTTGAGCAACCATCAAAGTGATGATTCGGGTGCATACGAACCGAGCACCATGTATTAAGTGCTGCCTTGCTTAACCCCCCAATAGAGTCACCCCATTATCTACGCTGAACCCCGCACATGACCAGCCCGGTACCTGAATCTTCAGCGTCCGCCTCAACGGTTCTTTAATGTGTCATTACCCTACACAACAATTCATCAACCGCTTCGTTGACGCAAGTACGAAAATACTGCAATACTGTATGGTAATATTAGTGGTTTTTTCATGTTCCACAGATTTAAGGACTTTACATTTACACTCTTGCCGACATTCCCATCCTGCCATGTTAGGTTAGGTTACAACCGAAGTCCCGAAACACTGGAAGAAGGTCAATGAGAAGAGGAATTTCCTTTAGAAAAAGATTGAACAATTAAATAACCATCAAATAGATTATTGTTAACATACGTGAAGTGTGTAGGCTTCAAATATTCACCAGTGTGAGGGTAATACAGTACAGTATTGTACAAGGTGTAAAACGCCGTAAGCGATAGTAGCCCCCGCCCCTGACACCCTGTACGCACCTTCCTGGTGGTAGCTGGCCTTGTCTGATAAGAAGGATGTCGCTAATTGTAATCTCAGCTGATAACAGCAATGGTGGGAGGTGGAGGGGGAGGCGGCTACACACACACACAGCTACACGCGGCTAGTCTGCGGTTAGTCTGTGATCCGTGCACACGCCACACGCCACGCTCACTCACACACACACGCGCGCGCACACGAAGCGGATATACTACGCAGTCATTCATCACGGTGAGATACATTGTTGTTTGTATTGTATAATTTGAATAAGAATTGCGGTAACTGTAAAACTGGATGTGTTTTCTAATATGGTGTTAATTTCTGCAAATTAACAACTACGCATTTATTTGATTAGATAGGCCGAATAAAATACCTTTTACTGTTTGAACTTGTGACAATTATTTCTATTTGCACATTTAATACAAATGTTTCGCATAATTTTACTTTGTGTGTACCATCACCTTTCTGGGTCTTGGAAATATTTCAGTGTGGTCCCTTATATCAGATTAAAAACCAATATTACGATACCCTTCATAGTATCAAACGTTCAATGATATCAATCGTTAAATTTTTTTTAAATTTAAATCAGAGCTCGTTTGTATTTTTTTAATATATTTATTTGTTTTAATACTGTTTGTGCTGAAGCCGTGTGCACTGTGGTAGCGGCGAATAAGCCGTAATAAGTCGTGGGTGATAAGGCGGAGTGTAATTAGTGTTCATTAATTACCCTCTCAAATTTTTACAAAGCTATTTTGATTTTGGGACTACTTTTTAGATAGATTTGGCTCAATTAAGGTAGACTTCAACAATAATTTTAAACGTTTATTTATAGCTCGTAGGCTCTATGAGAAAATGTTTGTGATAACAGTATACGAATCCTTATTCGCTATTTGTTTGCTGTATATGTATACAGTATAGGTTTCTTCAATAGTATTTAGATTCTCTTTTTAGGAGTTATTGAAATTGTTGTGTGGTTGCATCTTTCTTTAGTACAAATCAATTGAAAATACTGAGCGATACCTTCAACTACTTAAAGTTGAAAATTCACTTACGAATTAGATTCAGAACAGATTTTGGTTTCACGTTAAAACTTAAAAAGGATGGCAACCTAAGATTGACACCATAGTACGATTTTATTCTATTACATGAATTAAATCGAATATTTTTGTCAGTTTATCACACGTAAACAATTTTACAAAAAATAATTTCAATTAATTAATTTGTTTAGCTTAGTACATATAAGTGACCAAAGCAGATAGTTGAATGCTTTAGTTGTAGCTTTCCCAAGAGTATGAATTGCAGCAGTGTGGTATAAAATATGTTTCGTTGAACATGTAAATAAATTAAATTAAATAGTTTCATAAGAACTGAAAATATAATGGCAAAGTGGCCAAATTTTCACATAGCCCAATGGTGGTTATTTACTGGAAAGTACAGTTTTGTTTCTAATTCTTAAAGTTACAAATTAGTAAAGTATCTAAACCGAGGTGATTATTTAGATTTGTTTACACACCGTTATGCATAGTTGTTGACAACATAAAGCAAGAGCACCATTGGATAACCGCCTCAGTTTCTTATAGTATCCGACATGGGACATGTTCTAATGATTACCCTGTACTTCCTAATGAAACAACCCATTGTCTTCAAACAGAGTGTCAAAAATACAATTAATTACACATAAACATTGCACCAGTGAATGACTGTATATATTCTAAGGCTTTTTTTGTATTGAAAATAGCTCATTTTGGATTCGTTATAATACTGAGCCAAATGGATGGTTTCAATGATAACCGAGTTAAATTAAAACTACGAATGGTCATGGGAAATCCGTGTCACTCAAAACATAAATTGTCCATAACGTCTTTAACTCTCAATCAGTTTGCAGTTAAAAGAAAGTAGCTCATTTATAATCCATTATTATGAACTGTTTTGTCCCTTCACAATCTGATTGTGATCGAGTGAAAGATCAACTGTCCACATTTAAAGTGTCATTCAACCCGTAATACATACAGAAAGTTAGTCATTACTGAATCTTTGAAACAAGCTGTAAAGAAAATCAAATGTTAGGGGGCGAAGCTATAGAGGAAATTACCTTTTTACTTGCCATTCATCACTCCGCTAAATAATAAGGTTTACAATGACACTTGACACTTCAATCATAAATATCGGTTGAGGTCAGCTGTAAAAGGGATGTAACAGGAATATCCCTTATTGTATTTATTTACTTTATCTGGGAAAGGTTTTCGAAGATTACTGTCTCACTGAGATATAAAAACTGGAAACCGTATAAACAAAATATTTTGTATGAACATTCCAGTTTAGTTTTTAAGCTCAAAGTTATGAAATAGTTGAACAACTGTTTGCTTCTCTTACCATTACAAATATGAAGCACACACGGATGTGAGGTGCTGAGGTGTGTTGTTTCAATTAAAACCTTTGATTGGAGCAGAGTAAACAGACAACATGTCGTGGCGGACCTAGGTCGCGTCATGCCTAAAAAAGCTTGAATAAAACCATCGACTTATGGAAATTGTCAATTATAAAACGCTACAGGCTTGGAAAGACACGAGTAAACTTGTACAGTATTGCTTTACCCAACATCAATTATCCGACTGTACATGTTATAGTTTCTGTCAAATTAAAATTCTGTAAAATTAAAAAGAAGACTGTAAAATATTAATTAATGGAGCAGTAATATCAATTTCAGCTTGGTAATCAGTAGGTAGTTTTGGTTCAATCCTATTGTCAGTAGCTTTTTGATTGTTCAGAAACGTCCTTGATCAATTGACTTTTAATAAATAATTAATGTTCCTAACTAAAGAAACGACTGGTTTTAGTAAGTATCAAAAGCTATACAGGGTGATTCAAAAAGGACTTTACAACTTTGAATATTCATATAAATCTTATTAAACAAGGCACAGAGCTGGTTTTGGTGTTGTTTTAAAGGAAAACACTTCAAGTCTTTTGACCTTAAACTAAAGATATTCTATGTGACTTCCGTTGGATTTGGGGAAAAATATTATTTAGGTATGAAAAAATAGTAAAAACCGTTAAAAATTTGAGAGAAATTTACAAAATTTTGAAAGTAGGGCGTTTTTTGACGGTGAAGGAGTGCGATACACCCACTTCTAGATGTGCTAGGGAGTTGAAATTTCGCACACTTGTAGTTCTTGGTCCCAAACCACCCATAAAATTCCAAAAAGTCGCATTATCAAATTTTAACCCCCCCCAAAAATCCAAAATGGCGGACCTCTGAAAACGACAAAACACGTTTTTTTCAAACTGCTATAGCTCGAAAACGGTAAGAGCTAGAAAAGATTTGAGGAAAAAACGTAGGTTCGGAATTAAATTTCCTACAAGACACTTAATACGCATTTTTCGAAAATCGCACTCCTTCACCGTCAAAAAACGCCCTACTTTCAAAATTTTGCAAATTTCTCTCAAATTTTTACGGGTTTTCACTATTTTTTCATACCTAAATAATTATTTTCCAGTAGTGGAGAACTGCCGGTTTTACCCCACTTTAGACACGTTTTTCCCATGTTATTCTTATGGGGATTATTTTTGGCCACCAAATCTAAAATCCTGATCTTTGCCTGCAAATCCTTATATAATTGTCAAACCTTATTTTTTACTTATTCTCTATATATATATTCGGTATTAAGCTAAAAAAAAGCTAATTATTTCATTTATTGACTCATACATGTGTATATGTATAGTAGTGTAAAAACGCTATTCACTGGAGCAGCAGGCGGTGCAACCCCCAATTGTACCATAGCACCCTACCATGTGTACAGTTTATTGTGTATCTGTTTTGGTTTAAATATATATATTTCTATGTAATTACACTATTCAATGAACCAGGAGCATGTGCACCCCTCCAACTGTCCCATAGTATAGTAGTGTAAAAACGCTATTCACTGGATCAGGAGCAGCAACCCCCAATTGTACCATAGCACCCCACCATGTGTACACGATATTTTACTCGATTGTTTTGGATTTAATGCACAATTGCTAGTACATCTACCATTCCCCTTTCTAGTTGATATATTATATTTCTATTTCAAAATCATGTATGTGCGAACTCGGCTCATGGCGTGGGCATGCTCCCTTGGACATCCTTAGTGGAAATCCATGAGTTCTGGCTACTTGGGAACCCAAGCCATTTGACATACAATAAATCACCCTTTCTCCTAATTACCTTTTCTACTAAATACATGTCTTTATACTTGGTCTTTAACAACTCCTCTGTATAGAATCCTCCCCTGATTATATTACCATTTTCATCTTTCAAGATATAAGTCACAGGCTTTGTATTCTTAACTTCTGCTATTGTAAATAGTTCCCCTGTCCAATTTGGGGTATATCCTTTACTAAACACATGTTTATATTTGGAAATTCTCACGCTATCACCTACCTTATATCTTGGCTTTTTAACTTGCACTACTTTAGAAGTCCTTTCATGCAACCTCTCATGCACATATTTACTGTTCTTAATATTCACTTGGTATTTCGTCACACACATTTCACACAATTTTTATAAATTTCACACAAATTTCACACAATTTGACACAAATTTTTATAATGTGTGTCAAATTGTGTGAAATTTGTGTGAAATTTATAAAAATTGTGTGAAATGTGTGTGACGAAATACACGTAAATTCACATCACAGTCACATTCACAATTCATGTAACATTTGTGAAAATAGTGTGAAATTTGTGTGATGAAGTAAACAAGTACACAAAAATTCACATCACAGTCACAGGCCGCAGTCAATTGTTGTGTTTGATAACATGAATAGTCCAAATATTACACCATTTTTGTCAAAAGGTCGACATAAAAATATTGACTGCTTTTACTTGTGTTAATCTTGCAGCAAAGTACACAAACATTTACGTGATAGTGTAAATTTCCTAATATTATCCAGACAAGACGATTTAAGTTTTAAAACATGTGTATAACAATCATGTTGGCAATGACGTTTCATTTAACCAATTTAGTGATCTCTTCCTCTAAAGTTGGAATAAAACTAAATGGTTTTTTCATAATAGAAATGGAAAGGCTAAATAATAATGACAAATATAGATTTATGTTTGATCTATTTTATAATGACTACGAGCAAGAGTACTGATGTTATCTTCCAGAATAAGCCTCTTGTTATCATCAAAAGATAGTACTTTCTTATTCATTGTGTTTTTTAACATTTTTGCACACCTAAAATTGTTTAAGT